TGTGGCAAGATGGATGGTGCAGCCGCAAGGGCACGCACGAGCAGCTGCCTGTGCATAACTTAAGCCTGCCACACAGACCACAAGCAGCCGTAGAGCGCTGCAGCCATAACTCTCAGCCAACTAACTTTTGCTTACAATGATTGATCAAAAACGAACTGACACAGTTCCACGGCACTTGACTGCTCAAAAGTATTCGCATACAGATGAGCTGGTGTATGGTGTTTGCCTGCATGCATGACTATTTCGGCCAGAATGTCATGGGCACGTTAGCTCCATTCATACATCGTGATGTATGAATATTTATTAAGTGCTTAAGCCTGTAAAAATGGATTTTTATTGTACACAAAGTTATCAAATGATCTGTTAGTCTTGTTTTAAAATATACATCAGATGTACATCATGATGTATGCAAGTGAACCCAAACGAAACAATTGAAAATTCTTATCTTGCCAGTCCAGATCCTTATCTTTAATTTCTATATTTTTACATCAGTTTTACATCATGATGCATGTCTTACATCACATAGAAGAGAAACAGGAGCTGCGATTGTCGAATAATAACAGCTTATCAATCACTCAACTATAGAAATATATATATGTACAATATATAATTCATCAAGCTTACATCATGATGTATGCAAGTGAAAATCAATTAAGTGGAAAGTAATTATTAAGACTTTGTTCTTGTCGAGCTTATTATTTCTCTTGAATTTATGTATTAAACATCATTCATACATCATGATGTATGCAGGTGGAAGCTGTATATACATCAGCCAATTAAGTATAAATATGTAACAGATTGTCAATCCATCTGCAATAGAATATTATTATATACATCGGTTCTATATCTGATACATATGTGTCTTATACATCATGATGTATGCATGTAGATAGGAAGCAAACTATAATTGTATATATCTTATTTAGTAAATATAAGTTAGTAAATTAGTAAGATATAGAATTGTGCAGTAACATCAATCTTACATCATGATGTATGCATGTAAGTATCAAGCTAATGATCTTCACTAAACATTGAATAATGACTTTTTTATGATTATGATCTCTCGAAGTGGCTCTACATACTATTCATCAGTCTCAATGGAGACAAACTCGGCTGCCATAAAAGCGAGATTGCCGAAATTTGGTATATGAATGGATGGCTGTAAGGCTGAATGACTGTGCCCCACGCAGCAGAAAACAATTTCACTTTTTTCAATCTGAGCACCGTCAATCGATAATAAAAAAACGAATTGCAACCACAACGCTGATTATTGGAGGCAACAATTGTTGTATGCATTCCCAGCACTTCCAGTTGGCATTCTTCTCAGTCCAATTGGGCAAAAGTAAAACTCAGAGAATGTTGATGAATCTGTTTTGGATGGTGCAGCTGCTGCTGCTGCTGCTGCTGCTGCTGTGGTGCTTGTGCATTGAGCGATGTCCAGCCGCGACATTTGGCTTTGCGTTTGCCGCCTGCCAGCTGAGAAGAAAAAAGGCATCAATCAATTGCAAATAGAAAACAAAAATCTTCCAATCAGACGAATTGATCTTTGAATTGGTCTCGCTGCTGCTGCTGTCGCTGCCGCTGCCTTTGCCTGGGTGCGTACAACAGGCCGGAGCTGTTGCGGCTGCGGCAGCGGCTGTGGCATGTTGCGCTTGCGGGTGGCCCCACCTGCCCAAGCCAGAGGCTGTGACGCCAACAGCGATGCCAGCAGCGACGGCGACTGCGACTGAGGATTTGGGTTTGGTGTTAGGAACGTGGCCCGGCCCGGCTCGGCTAAAGAAGAAAGTGTTAAGTCCAATTTCAAATATTCGCTGGTGAAATTTAAATCATTTTCAAATTTAATTACCGACAAATAAACGTTTGACATTCCAGACGAGCCGACTGCCACCTGCTTGTCACCTGGGGGGCTTGTTGTTGTTGCTGCTGGGCGTGCCATTTGAGGCATTCAAGTGTAGAGTATCTCAACATCATTATCATCTGGCACCTCATAATGAGCATTGGCTCATTCTACGAATACGCACAGCTTTTTCTCTTTTGTGTTGCTGTTACTATTGTTGTAGTTGTTGTTGTTGCTGCTGCTGCTGCTTTTGTTGTTGTAGTGATTGCTCTTGTCATTGCAGCCTTGTCCAAAAAACTTAATTTTAATGGACAGCGCTTCAGTGCTTCATTAAGACATCGGACCACAGTGCACAGTGGTGCACAGTAAGCAAACGCAATTTAATTTTTCAATTGAATCAAATGAGATTTAAAGAAATAAAAAATCAATAAAATTCGATCTTCATATGAGATTAAGATTAAGATAAATAATATACTACTATTATACTACTATACAGATATATATATATAGTTAGTTAGCTTTTTTTCGTGTTCACTTTCACCTGGTAATTTAATTTAATTTTATAAATTATCAATTCGTATATTTTTGTGCCTATTCAACTGACTGTCAAAGTTCAAATTAAGTTGACAAGCACTTAAACTATCACTTCACTTGCAGATAGACAGGTTAAACTCACGCCTGACCAGGTGGCAGCACTTAAATTTGGCAAATAAATTTAGCTGCATGGCAAATTTTAACTGCTAATTAGAGCTACTCCAAAGGAACTCTAGCTGTTGGATGCATTACAAATTTGCAACTCACTGAGATTTTCGCGCAGTGTAATTTCATATTTATTGACAACATATGATCGATAGATAGTAGACTGTAAACTATAGACTGTCTGGCAGACAGTCAGCCAATCAGCTAGCCACCCACTGCTGGCCCCCTCCGATCTGCTTTTGTCGGCACACTCCATGCAGCTGCAACAATGTTGCACGCACTGTGTATTGAATTGATGGGCTGTCCACGCCCTTAGCGCATGCGCCAATTGCCAGTAATTATACCCTGTATTGTAAGATCTGCTAACAAGGTCCACATACAGCGATGGATTAGGAAAAGTATTAATAGTAATATTATAAAATATTACTAATACTAATGATGCAAACTATTAATTTACGAACTAAAACTACTAGACAATATCGAGTTTATACAACAATTTCGTACTATGCACCAGGTAACTTCCTGAAAACTAATCTCTAAGGGGAATCATATTAATAATAATAAATAATAAAATAAATAATAATAATAATAATAGTAAATATCGCCCAATTCAAATTATCATACATAACTACAGGGTAAGAACTAGTCGAGCACTCTGCTAACTGCACCAAATCGAGTTGTTTTCATTCATCTTCAGCGCACAGTTATTTGCGCGTGTGTGTGTGTGCGTGCGTGTGAATGTGCATTCGTTTATATGCGTGCGTGTGTGCGTGTGCGATCAGGAGACATTTCTCGTTGGTCGTTTTCTCGCCTTTTTCGCGCTGGCCGCTCGTTTCTTTTCTTTTTTCTTTTTTTTTGGCGCACATAAAAAAGCGGCTTTTCGTTTAAGTGCGTCGCGCCTGGATGAGTAGTCTGTCCGTCTACGTCTACATCTGCGTCTGCATCTGCAGTGAGATGACCGCTAAAGCCGGAACTGGCCATGGCCATGGCCAAGCGATGCAGTCGCTGTCGCTATCGTAGCGGCAGCGCGTCGAAAGTTGCGCCGCATTTGGACTGGCCAATTGACTGACTGACTGACTGCCTAACCAACTGACTAAGCCAGACAGAGACGCAGACGCTGACGCTGCCGCAGCACAAGCGCAGGCGGAAGAAGGAAAGTGAAGACGTTGCGCGCGTAGTTAGCTTCGACGTCAGCGCTGCCGACCCACCTGCAGCCGGCAGAACGCGAACGTTAGCGATGTCAACTGTAAATGTGGATGCTAACTATTGGGATGTGCAAGTGAATGTGGATGTTATTGTGCCGTTGTTGTTGCTGTTGATGTTGCTGTGGATTTTGAATGGCAGCGATGGCTGCGTGAAAATGCCGCCCAACGAGTTTCGCAATAAAGAGAAAGTGTCCAAAGGCTGTTCTCGCGATCGTAAAGAATAAATTTGTGTTTCCTGTTTGCTGCATACCTTTTTCAACGGTCTCACCAAAAAAATACAAGGCAAAAGAAAAAAGAAAAGAGAAGAAACAAAGCCGATTTCATCTTTATCAGGGAGAAAGAAAGTTATACATTTATACACGCATGTAGAGCCTGTTGCTAGGGTCTTGAGAAACCGTCAAAGGGAACGGCGAAAAAAGCGCAATTTGGTAAAAATAAAACATATAAAACTAAACTGGAAATGTGCTCGCAAAAATGCCAAATGCGGCCAAAAATACTTGTCGCTCGGTTTGTGGAATCCAAAGTGGAAGCGTGCACAGTGGTCCAGCGCTATTGAAAATAGCACAAATCTTAACTACACAATATGTACATATGTACTTGCATGTGTGTCGTTGCCTGAAACTGATAAGGGAGGGCGAAGTCATTTCTTGGATTCCAATATCAATATTCATACAAAAAAAAAATGACGCATTTTCATACCACATACATATACGTACACATGCCTAACAATTGTTGTCAGTGTGTGTGCCACTGTCGCTGACTGATTCGCAAATTTACCGCTAGTTCATTACAACAGTGCAACGCAAAGCGTGAGCTAAAAAAAGGGAAATGATATGCAAATTGAGTGAATCTGAAATCTAGTTAGCTGACATCGTCTGCATGAATATATTCGATCATTTATAAGATATATTTTTTTTTTTATTATTGGCAGGTTAACAGCATGCAGCTTAAGAATCTATATAGAAACAGAGCTGATCACGCTTACTCTAAAAATCTAGCTATAAAATAGCTAAGCCAACAGCTCAAAACATGCAACTCTTTGGCTGTGTGCGTGTGTTTTATTTTCAGCTACGATAATGAATGAGCCGCAGCGACAAAAAGAACGCGCAATATTTTAATAAAACTCTACATAAATACTATGTAATATGTGTATCTGTATATTATATATGTATTTATGTACTTAGTATATGGCGTCTTATCCGTTAAGAGTGGATCCGCTGTGCGGCATCCGTTCGAGACGGCATCGCCAGTCAGCCGGCCACAACGCAAAGGGCAGCGCACGACTCTTAGCTCTAGTGCACAGTAAACGGATAATATCCAAACAAGAACAGACCAAGTTATCCTTATCCGCAATATTACCAGCATGCTGCTCTGGCAACGGGTGGCTCAAGTGCTGCCGTTGCTGCTGCTCCTTGAATTGATGGAATTGCCCAGCGCATCAGCCTGGTTAAAGTTTAACAGTTACACGGCGCTGAGCAAGAAGCGCACGGATCTACGCAAGAAATGTCCAAATGTGAGTGCCCCCATCCCACAAAGTACAGTTTGGCTAAGTCAGCGAAAATCAGCTGACAATTGGACAGTGGAACGAAAACTATTGCAAATAGAACAAATATCTGTTCACATTATAAATTCGTAGAGCACTCGCTGCTTGCCTCAATGTCTCTCAGCAAACATTTGCATGTTAGTCTATGCATTGAGCGTGTGTTTGTGTGCCTGTGTGTGTGTATCTTCTCTCATCAATATGCGAGTCAGCCAGGCTCCCATTCAGAATGTGTCTGGGGGCAAAGAAATGGGCGCACACTGATGCCAAAATCAATCACACTTTCTAAGTGCCTGACTTGACGGACCGCGTGTCGCAGTTGACGTCGCCGTTGCCGTCGCTGTCGCTGGCAGCAGCAATGTCAGCAATGGCATCGCCATTGGCCGCGTCGCAACTTTGACAGGTGATTTCTGTTCTATACCCTGTAAATGTATAGCTGTGAGATAACTAGGCAGCAGACAAGCGTTCGATAAATAATATATATATTCATAATGAGCATAATAATTTGTAGAGCTACACAGCTACAGTGAACTATGGCACTGATAGCTCATCTATTAATGCTAAAGAAGCTAAACAGGTCTATATATATATATATATATATATATATATATATATATATATATATATATGTATATACAGGGTATCTGCTGGCCAGCATGCATTTGTTTTTGCTGTTGGTGTTGCAGATGTAAAACGCACAGCCAAAAGCTAAAGAAACAAATTGAACAAATGCACAAAGTAACGTGCAACTAGATTTTGTGCTGTGTGTGAGTGTGTGTGTGGCTTAATTTCAGCTGGCACGCACATTTGCCTCAATGAATCTTTGCTGTTGTTATTCTGATTTATATTTATGTGTTAACTTTCTACAAGAGCACTTACACACACACACACACACTCACACACGTACGCTGTCACTTTTTGGTTTCATTTTCCCACCCACAACAGGTGCGCGCCATACGCAACTTTGATCTGGAGCTAATGATGGGCAATTGGCATGTGGTTCAATATTACGCGTCCACCGAGGAGTTGCCCGAATATGCGTGTATGCGCAGCAATTTCGCCTTCTCCAGCGAGGATCAGCATGTGAGTAATAGTGCAATAAGCCAGCAATGATTGACTGATTTACTGATTGACTCACTGACTTGGTTGCATTAACAACAAGGTACATGCTAGACTGCAAGTAAGTTCTTCATATATTATCATATTTTTAGCATTGATTGATTGATTGACTGACTGACTGATTGACTGACTGACTGATTGACAGGCTGACTGAAGGGCAAGGTATACATAAGTCGAGACATAAAACAAGAAGTTTTTGATGAGTTTTAAAAACACTGATTGACTTATGACACACTGACTGATTGATTGATTGATTGATAGATAAACAAGCATTTGTAAGCGCATATTGTATAGCATGTGAGTTGTTGACTGATTGATTGATGAAACATCAATTGCTATATCTCAAAAGAAAGCAGATAGTAGATTAATTGATTAATCGAAATCTATTTACAGATAACCATGAACTTTAGCTATATTTTTGCGGAAGATCCGCTGCGCGAGAAGCTGCAGGGCAACATCACATGGCTAATACCGGACTTTGGCACGCCCGGCCACTGGATGCATACCGAGGATATATGTAAGATCGTACCGAAAGCAAATATATATAATATGCTAAGCCAGTTTTATGCATAGATGAGGGCATCTATAATACCTATGTACTGGACACGGACTATCAAAATTGGGGTCTGATTATGCACTGTGCCGAGAAGAAGAAGCATCCGCGCTATTTATCCGCATTACTGCTGTCGCGGCAACCTACGCTGGGCGATAATGTAATAACGTTTTTACGAGAGAAATTGCCAAGATATGATATTGACTTGTCTTTTATGTTTGCCATTAATCAAACGTCGTGCGAGCATCTGATGGAGTCTAGCAAAGATGATCCGTTGGCATATATAGTAAATGGTCAGCAGAGCGTTGCAGATAACGTTAAGCTCATCAATAAACCATAAAATGCAATTTAATCAATATTCAAATAAATGAACGCACTTTAAATTTGGCGCTTTCTTGAAGTTGGCTACGCTTCTGCTTGAAGTTGGCTGCGCGTAGGTGAGCTGAGCGCATTTTTGCGCAACTTGCGCAACGTAACGCACAATGTGCAACGTGAACGCTTGTTGAGTAGCGCGAAACGCAAAAAAGCGTCACGTAACGCAATAGAACACAACACTTTGCCGTTCGTGGTGAATGCCAAGCTGAACAACGCAAACAAAATTTGGTCACTCTAAAACGTAGTTGCGAAGAAAAAATTAAATATTTTTGTGTATTTTGCGAGTGTTTCAATTGTTTTAACAATACAGAAAACATAGATTAACTAACATATTCGAACGCGTATTCGCAATGTGCAATATTTTCAGCGATTTGTATGTATATAATCTGTAGCTGTTGTACCTGATTCGTTGCGATTTTCGTGTGAGCTGCCTTAAAAGTGGTGGAAAATGTGTGCAACAAAAAACATGCAATTGCCACTAACTATGCACATTGGGCAGTCAGCGGCAACAGTGCGTTAGTTAATATAATAACAATTTTTTTGATGTGGTGCAAGTGCGTTCAAAAACGCGAAAACTAGCTAAACGACAAAAAAATTCGCGCGTGCAACACAAAATTGCGCCAATAAGCGAACGACGACGTTTCTGTCTGTTTCTGTTTTATTGCATTCCTGCTCGCACACATACATACATACGATACAGAGCAACAGAGATTTTCGTGCATACATATGCATATGTATGCATGCATACACACACATATACCCACATGCATTCACGCAATAAACGCAGCACAACAACAACAAACAACAAACATTGGCTGCAACACAAATGTTTTGTTTCAGGTGAGCATGAAGCTGGGCATCAATACAATTTGTACAGTTTGAGAAAAATCAAAATATAAATCAAATAACAAGTGCAACAAATAAGTTGAATGTGCATTGATTTGTTTTTGCCGTTTCTGTGTGTGAGTGTGTGTGCGTACTTTTTTTTTGGGTTTTCTTTTTGGCAACAATAAAAATGGTAAATCGTTCGCGCTCGCACTGTGTGCGCGCAGTAGCACACACTAGTGTGTGTTCACTCGCACGCATGCTATGCTTACGGCAGTTAATTTGTTGTGTTTTGTTGTTGTTGCGTCTTGACATTTGCTGCGGGAAGCTCCGCTTGAATGTATTTCCTTTGCATTAATCTAGTAAATGAAATGAAGAGTAAACTAAAGTAAATGAATTAAATATTGAGTGATTACAATTCTAATAATTAACATCTTTCACTTGCAGTGTAATTGTTGATTTTGCCATCAAACGGCCACGCGCGCCAACCATCGCATAGAAGAAGTGTAAACAATATATAAAAATACAGGCGAAACTCGAATTGAAGTACGCTCGTTGAACAACTGGCATCTGGTCAAGATGTCGCGCTGGGGCAAGAACATTGTTGTGCCGCTGGACTCGCTCTGCAAGGAGAAGGAGAACACCAATCGGCCAACAGTTGCCCGCTCGGTGGGCACCGTTGGAAAATGGGGCAAGATGGGCTTCACCTCGACCCGCACCTACACGCTCTCTGCTTTGCATCCGATGGCAGCAGCGGCGGCTGCTGCTGCTGCTGCCGCTAGTCCCGCCCAGAGTCCGGCCTCCACACACGATCACGATCCCAATGATATGTCGGTGTCCGTGCCGGAGCCTCCGAAGCCCAAGAAGTTCTTCAAGTCGCGCAATGCGGCGCCGCCAGAGGTGATAGCACAGATTATACAACAGCTGCCGCACTGTGTGGCAGGCACGTCACCGATGCGGGATCAGGCATCGTCTGCGATACACATGACACCCACACGGGAGCCCATCAAGCTAAAGCTGGCTAAAGGCAGCTCCGCAGAGCGGAAGCGCAAGTCACCCAAAAAGAAGGCAGCGGCTACGACGGCGGCAGCGGCGGCGGCGGCGGCTGCTTTAACGCCCGGTGCGTTTAGCGCCGCCGAACTGAGCGACAGCTTGGCCCTAGATGCCGATCAAATGGATATGGCTACCGGTGCATCACCCACAGCTGAGCCTAAGGGAAAGAAGAAGAAATTGAAGGAGGAGAAGAAACTAAAGCCAGAGGCGCCGCCGTCACGGATTTTGGGACGCGCCCGCAAAGCGGTCAACTACTGCGAAGTGGATGAGGACGAACGCTATCCCACGCCCATCAAGGATTTGATCATTCCCAAATCACGGGCGCCCGAAACAACAACAGCATCACAGGATGTTGCCATACCTGCGTCAGCAGCCGCAGCAATCCCAGCAGGAGCAGCCGGAGCAGCTATAGTTCCAGATGGCAATCCAGCGCTTCCTCCGCCAGCAACGGCGCCCAGCGCAGCAGCTATTGGCTCCATTGGTGGAGCAGTAGCAGCAGCATCATCCTCCTCTGCTTCCACAGTGCCATCTGCATCCGCCTCGTCTAGTGCTTCCCGAACGCCCGAACATCCGCCAATTGTTCTGCGCATTTCCAAAGTGAGTTTCAGGAACTTAGTGATTCGATTTGTTATAGGAAAGAGTTGGAAGGAAAACTTAACCGAAGATTTACTCTGTTATATATGATGTATATATTTCTATTTTATCATACTTGAAACTGTTCCAACTAAAATATAGATCGTTTGATTATAGATATATGGATAGATTGATGCCTTTTATAACATTTATATAGAATATTATATATATGATAGATAGACAGATAGAAATATCCAGATATATACAGAAAGATGTTGATAAAAATTATATAAAGAAGTATAGATAGGTTAATAGATGACAGGAAGATATAAAGGATACCGATAGAATGTAGAATAATAATTATATAATAGATCATAGCACTATCTTTGCACAACAGTTCAGCATAATACTTCCAATTTAGTTCTATACTATATATGTTTATTATTACAGTTTCAAAACCATAAATTTAAAAAAAAAATCGCTCTTAATCTATTTTTATGTTCATGATTCTTTTGCATTGTATTTGTAGAGCGTTTGATAAGAATTATGAAAACTGTTATCTAACTAGACTACAAGGTCTTTGTTAAGAAAAAAAAATAATATATATATACATATATATATGTTAGGTTTATAGATAAATTGGATAATCCAATGAAAATTGCAAATTCTCCAATTACAAAAGTGCTTTGCATATGTGCACAGTTGACACATTTTTGTCGTCTGATCAACCACTGTGCATTGGGCAGAGCTCTCACGAGTGACGCGCTCAGTGAGAGAAGATCCCTCAATGCCTCTTGTTCGCTCACTCGTTCGCACTCAAGCACACACACGTATACATACATTAACTAACACACGCAACCCCATATCGTCGGCTTGAATCGCTCTGTGTGGGAAAGAGAAAGCGACAACAATAACAACAACAAGCAGCACAGTGTTAAATTACGCGCGCTTTTACATTAAACGGAGTTTTTTTTCACATTTCTTTTCTTGAGTTTCTGTTTCTTTTTTTTTTTTTTCGTTCAGTTTATTTCTTAACGTTTTCATTTGGTTGCTGCTGCAGCTTGGGCACAGTTGTTGTTTGTGTGTGTTGTGCGACAGTTGTCGCTGCCGTTAGCCAAGTGTTAATTGCGGCTGAAAAAATAAACTATCAACTATCATCTATCCTACATAGGCAAAGAGAGAGGCGGAGCGAAATAGAGAGAGAGCAATAGATCCATGCATGTTGGTTATAAACAATGGATTCATTTAGCGTTCTCCATTGCAGGGCACCTCACGTCTAGTCAGCACGGACAGCGAGGAGCCGCCAAATTGTTCGCCTGCCCAGCAGCATCTGTCATACGAGACGCCCAACGAAGCGCTGCTTGATCATCCAGTCGATGTTTTAGTTCCTGCACCAAAAATAACTGTAAAACCGCTGCGTCTGCCAACAGCAAAGTCGGCAAAGGACGACGACGCCACAGCAGCCGGTAACAGGGAGTTATTGACAGAGACTGCGACCGACAACAACAACAGCAGCAGCAGCACTAGCAACAACGACGACGAAGAGCAAGAGGAAGAGGAACAGGAGGAGGAGGAAGAGGAAGAGGAGGACGATGAAGAAGAGGAAGAGCCACCCGAAATCAATTATTGTACAGTGAAAATCTCACCAGACAAACCGCCCAAGGAACGACTGAAACTGATCATCAAAACGGACGTCATACGAAACGCAATTGCCAAAGCAGCCGCCGCAGCAGCTGCCAAAGCCGCTGGCGAGGAATCGCGCAGCGAAAAAAAATCCAAAAGCAAAAAGCATAAGCATTTGAAGCACGCCCAGCTAGTCGAACAAGTGCAGCCCAGCCAGACGGTAACAGCCTCCGCGGCCAGCGAATTAGCACAGAGCTCTGAATTTAAGACGCCCTCGCCTCACCTGGCATTGAATGAGCAACACCAGCACCAGCAGCAGCACCCGCATCAGCAGCAATTGCAGCAGCAACTGCATCGGGGTGCGGTTATATCACCTACGACACGCTCGGACCACGATTTCGATTCGCAATCCTCGGTGCTAGGCAGCATCTCCTCCAAGGGGAACAGCACGCCGCAGCTGTTAGCGCAGGCCGTGCAAGAGGATAGCTGTGTGATACGTAGTCGCGGCTCGAGTGTCATAACGAGCGATCTAGAGACCAGTCAGCACTCATCGCTGGTAGCGCCACCCTCGGACATTGAGTCGCGTCTGGAGTCCATGATGATGACCATGGATGGCAATAATGCAGGAGGAGCTGCAGCTGGAGCTGGAGCGGCAATAGTAGCAGCAGCAGCTGCCACTTCCACAGGCGGAGCAGACCAAACGGATAGTCGTCTGCCACTCGTGGAGCAGCCGCTACAGCAGGACATTCTGGCGGTGCTGCGTGGCGATGCGGTGCCGCGTCTCAATGGTGCTGACGATTCGGTGTCGGCGTTGGCATCGGCATCGGCTTCAGCCGAGTCCAAGCATTCAAAGCGTACAACGCGAGGACGTGCGCGTGGCAAGGCCAACAACAACACAAATAATTCGGCGGAGTCCACAGCGCCGACGGAAACGCGCACAAGAACGCGAGCGAAGCCCACAGAGACATCGCCCACGTCCACGACAGCCACCTCGACCTCGGCCACGCCCTCCAAGCGTGCCACACGTGCGCGTGGCAGCAAGCGATTGGAAACGGCAGCAACAGCTGAGGATATGGAACTGGCTGAGTCGCCAGAGAAGGCCTTGCTGGAGTCAGTTGAGCCATCGGCAAGTGAGGCACTGCCACGACGTGGACGCGCCGCGGCGCGTGCCATCAACAACAATTTGGCCAGCAGCAACAACAACAACAGCAGCAGCAACAACAACAACATCAATAAGATCGCTGCTAATTTGTCAGCGAAAGCTGAGGCCAGTCGTGCCACCGACAATGGTGGGTCAAATGCTGTTGCTGGCGGTGCGGCAGCTGCTGCTGCAGCTGGCACGCGCAGCTACGGTCGCAAGCGTAAGAATCAGCAGGTGACGCAACTGCTGCAGCATGCCGAATTGTCGGAGGCGGTCAGCTCAGCGGACCAGCTGAGTCAGGATTCGGAGCTGAACGAGGCGCAGCCAACGCCGGCCAAGGTGCCGCACACAGAGCTGGACCCGGATGCGGAGCCAGATCCCGGCATGGACGAGCTGTCGAACACCTCGAATGGGTCCTCCATGCAACATGATGGCTCGTCCTCATCGCCGCCGCCGCGTGACTACAAATTCAAGGATAAGTTCAAGCGCACCATCACGCTGGAGAACCAGGTGCCGGGTGCAGGTGGTGCTTTGGCTGCTGCAGCCGCAGCCGCAGCCGCAGCAGCAGCAGCTGCGGCCACCGGCGCAGAGGCCACCTCGAGCAGCGTCACCAATGTCAGCAGCAGCGAGGAGACGCAGCGCGGCGCCGTCAAGCTGGTCATCTCGAAGAAGAAGGGCAGCATATTCAAAAGCCGAGCGCTGGTGCCCTCCGACCAGGCCGAGCAGGCGACAGTGGCCAAACGGGCTCTGTACAAGCACAGCTGGGATGCAGCACTGGAGGCCAATGGCGCCGGCACTGGCAGTGATGCAAGCAATGCGTCCGCCTCAACGGCAGCGGGCGGTGCTGGCGCCAAAGCGGATGGCTTGGCTGCCAGCAAAGCAGCCACCATCGATGCCATCTATGGCGACTTCGGCGATAGCAATTCCAACAACAATACCTGCAGCAGCTCTGCCCTGCGCGGCGAGAGTCCCGCCCTGGGAAAACTGAGCCGCCTGGCCAAACCGCAGCACAACGCCCAATCCTTGACAGCGACCTCTAGCGATGCCTTCGACATGGATCTGGAGCCGAATGCCGATGAGGGAGGCTGTGGAGGTGCCGGCGGTGGCAATGGCAGTGGAGGAGTTGTCGGCGGAGGGGCCGGCGATCGCACGGGTCTCCGTGTGGACCGCAAGACCAAGGAATACTACACAGTGGTGCGGAATGTGAAGACTGCGCATCAGATACAAGAGATTGGCGAATACCAGGAGATGTACGACGATGTGGAATACATATTGGATGCATTGCAGCCGCACAATCCGGCGCCCACGCGTTGTCTGTCCGCCCTGCAGTTGGCCACCAAATGCATGACGCCCGCCTTTCGTATGCATGTGCGTGCCCACGGCGTTGTTACTAAGTTCTTCAAGGTGAGTGTGGCAAAGGGGCATAGTTGATGCCAGTAGCTAATCTCTTTAATCCCTTGCAGGCGCTCTCCGATGCCAACAAGGATCTGAGCCTGGGTCTCTGCACATCGGCCATTATGTACATACTGTCGCAGGAGGGTCTGAACATGGATCTCGATCGGGATTCGCTCGAGCTAATGATCAATTTGCTGGAGGCTGAAGGTGTGGGCGTGGCCGCGCACACAGATCGACCCAATTACGAGCGAAACAAGCAGAAGGTGCGCGAACTATGCGAGGAGATTAAAGCGCAGGGCAAGGGCACCCATCTGAACGTGGAGTCCATAACGGTGGGCACTTTGGCCATGGAGACGCTGCTCTCGCTGACATCTAAGCGTGCGGGCGAATGGTTCAAGGAGGATCTACGCAAACTGGGCGGCCTGGAGCACATCATCAAGACCATCTCAGATTTCTGCCAGCCAGTGATTGCTACAGCGGCGACAGATATGGCACTGGTCACCTGGGAGCCGGCGCTTCTCGACAACATGCAGACAGTGGCGCGCTGCTTGCGTGTCCTCGAGAATGTAACGCAGCACAACGAGGCGAATCAACGGTATATGCTCACCTATGCCAACGGCCGGGCTGTGGATACACTGTGTTTCCTATATCGTCTCTGCGATCGACAGCTGCTGCTGCATCCCTCGACGACGGAGCAGAATAGCAGCAAAGAGCATCCGGGCGTTGCAATGCGTGAACTCCTAATACCCGTCATGAAGGTGCTCATCAACCTGACGCACACGTTCAATGAGGCGCAGCCCTCACTGGGCGCCGAGCTGCTGGGCAAACGTAGCGACGTCATCGAGACGAGCTTCCATCTGCTGCTGCTCGCATCCAGCTACATTCCGGATCGTTGCGTCTTCGAGCTGAGCATTTTGGTGAGTAGCGCAACTCCCATGCCTGTTCCTATTCCTCTTCCTGTTCACATTTGGGCTATTCATCAATGTCATTCATGTCTCCCCTCCAGGTGCTCACCCTGCTTATTAACCTGTGCATGTACACGCCGCAAAATCGCGCCACACTGATGCAGGCGAATGCGCCGGCCGAATATGTGGCCGACAATCCAACGCCTGGCGATCAGCCTGTCAGTGCGGTGCAAGCGCTGCTCGAGTACTTCTACAAGTGCGAGGAGCTAGCCAGGTGCGTTATAAAGTCAACACTCTAACTCGTTCATACATTAATTCCTCTTTGCCCGCAGATTGGTGGAGAAGAACACGGACGCGTTCCTAGAGAGCAATGAGAAGAGCAAAAAGAAGCAGGAGGAGGTCGAGGAGACGGTCAACAATCGTAAGTTGAAACGCCAGTTCAGGATGGATTCTCTCGCGTTGCGTATCAATTATCCGTCATATTTCCCATTTGTATATATTGATTCGTTGTCTGGGAAAAAGAAATTCTGCGTAATCATCATCCATACGCTATGAAATTTGAGTATCTCGCACACATTCCAATCTGTTAGCTGGTTACTAAAGCCAAGCTGTTAGAATGGCTTACAGAGAAATAGACTTTGAATATTTACAAAAGAATGACTGAGTGGGGTGGGGGAGGTGTAAATAAAACAATATATAAATACAGCTCAATGGAAATGGAGACAGTAACATAAATAAACGAAAAGCTTAGCCTTGAGAGCGAGAGAGTGAGAGAGAGAGAGAGAGAGAGATATGAACATGGAATCCTATCCAAGTGCAGTTTAGAATAGAAAGAAGTCTTATATATTAAATACATAATTCATCTTTTTTTGCACTTGCCACAATTTACAGTCGTGCAACGCGCTGGCCACCACATGGAGCACACGCTCAAGGGCAGCTACGCGGCGATATTAATCGGCAATCTGATCACGGATAATGAACAGAACGAAACAATTGTACGGCGGCAGCTGCGAGGGAACAGCTTTAAGGAGATCGTAGGTGTTCTGGAGAAATATCACACCTTTATGAATCTGACTTCCAGTGTACGTGTAATACTTATTCCTATCTATATGTCGATTAATATACTTTACTTTGCTTGCTGCAACAGTTGGAGGCCGCCTTTGTGGCACACATGAAGTCCACAAAGAAGATCATTGACAACTTCAAGAAGCGTGACTATATCTATGAGCATGCCGATGAGGATCACACGATGTCGATGCCACTCAATCTGGAGACGACGACGCATCAACAACAACAACAACAACAACAGCAGCAGCAGCATCAGCAGGCGCAGGAGGCGCCCAGCAGTACGGCAATGAGCAGTAACAACACTAACAGCAGTAGCAACAGCAGCAGCAGCACAAACACAACAACCAGCAGCAGCAGTAGTGGCGGCAGCAGCAGTAGCAGCAGCATGCCACGTGTCTTCAAGACGTACAGCAGTCATAGATAATCAATGCTGGATGACCATGAAGCCAAATCTGTGGATAGTTGAATGCTGAAAGCCTTCCACCTGAAACCCTGCCACCAAAATAATAATTATATATGTTGTTTCGTAATTGATGACGATTAGTTATTTATTTACTAATATGCATGTGAATGTATATATATATATATGTATTTAAATGTATGTATATTTAATTATATATGTATATTTATGTATGTATGAAATTATGCTGTGCTCTGCTCGCTCGGCTCTGCCTTGGGTTCTAGCTTAGCTTTGCAATATTTTATTGTATTTAAAAAAACAGCAAACAAAAAAAAAACAAAAACAAAAAGTGATAGCAAATTTCATGAGCATGGTCAGCGTTTTAACTACACACACACACACACAGACAAACACTCAAAAATCCAAATTAACTACTGATAATGTGTACGTTATATAGTCATAAGCAATATTAGCAACTATTATTATTATTATATATTTACATGCAATCGATTGTACATATTGTTTTTTCCAACGATTTTATTCAAAGCTAAATTAGTTTTTATTTAATGTGTCTATGCTCCATTTTTTACTATTACAATTATAATATAATTATTTTTTTTTTTTTTATAACTAGTACACACACACACACACTTGTACATGTATAAAGTTAATGGAAAGAAAAAAATATGAAAAGCAAAGCACGAAATATATAAATATTTTATGCGTTTAGTGTTTAAGCAAAAAAAAACTTTATCCATAATTAGAAGAAAAAAAAAATGAAAATGAAAAAAAAAACATTGTATGTATGTATGTGTATGTTTAAAATTAAAAAAAAAAACTAAAACGAAATACAAAAATGTCATATTTAGGCTTAAAACTGAGATATAAACCTTATATATATATATATATATATATATATATATATATATATATATATATATATATATATATATATATATATATATATATATATATATATATATATATATATATATATATATATATATATATATATATAAATAAATGTAAAAGAAAAACAATTTCGGGAACAAATTATAAATGTATTTATTTTTTGTTTTTAAATCTGTGGATAATGTGAAAAATCTATATATTTAAGGCTACCATTACACACTATAATATATATATATATATATATATGTATATATATATATATATATATATATATAAAATAATTGTTCTTGCAAAAAAATTATGAAATAAAATTCAATGAAAAATTAATTGTTTCTATTTTTCAATATACATTTTTAATGGAATCTTCAAAATATCTAATTGAACAATAATCGAAATATATCATTTTATTTGCATAAAAATGTTATGTTAATGGCAAAAATTTACTCACCTAACTGAAACAATACTATATTGGCGCTAAATTACAATCAGTAATTAAAAATAGTTAAAATTGTTCCTAGAAAATTGTTTTTTTTTTGTTAATTTTGTTGTCGTTTTCTATAAAATTTGAATAAATAAAACTGTTAATAACAGTGCTGTTGTCTGTGGAGTCGAACTGTTAGATGTGGAGCGGATACGTGAACGGGTGAATGTCAGAAGGAGCAGTAGTCGTAATTTATGGCAATTGTACAAACAAGACGGAAAAATATGCGAGCGTAAAAAGTAAGAGAAAAAAAATAATTTTAAGTCTTTTAGTTTTATATATGCATTGCTGAAACGTTTCAATTGTGTACGACGACGGCAACGTCGGCGGTCGGGTGCAAGATTTTCGTCCAAACTGTAAATTGATAAAAAAAAAGGACTAACAAGAGAAACAACAAGGCAAAACAAATAAACAAAACGCAGCGCCAAGGCAGCTGTGTGTATGTGCGTGAGTGCGAGTGTAAAGACAACAGCAAGACGAGCCAGAGAGAGAACGAGAGGGGGGAAAGAGAGCGGGAGTGGGAGTGAGAGCAGGTGCAACTGCAACTGCAACTGCAACTGGAATATGTCCAAGGTGCAGCCCATGGCGTCGACACGCTCACGTCCCCGCCCCCGGCAAGCAGGCAGCGAGAGAGGGCGAAGTGGACATGCGGACGCCATCAATGGAGATGTGAGCAGTGTCCTGGACTACACCAGCAGCAGTTCGATTATAGAGTTTCTGGCTAAGGAGCAGGACTGCAGTCTGGAGCCCGCCGATCCGGATGTCATATTCCAGGAGGTGAATCGCCTCGCAGACAGTACAGATATGCGCTCCGTGGATGAGCTGCTGCTGGAGGCGGAGCGTCTTATACAGCAACAATTGCGATTAGGTGATGGCGATGGAGACGGTGACGGTGACGGCGACGATGACATCGATGGTGATGGCGATGGCGATGGCGATGGCGATGCCAGCTGTCCGTTGCAGACACCCTCGACCACGCCCTCGCCGCAATCGCTGGCATCGCCACAGAATAGCATCAAGCTAAACACACGCTACACTCGCTGCATCAGCAGCAGCACCACCACCATTAGCACCATCAAAGCCAGCACCATGTCTCCATGTCAAGCCAAAGCCAATGCGAATAAAGTCAACGAGGTGTTGGGCAACTCCACAGCCTCCACGCCACTGACAGCAGAGCCGCAGACCAATTTTGTGGCGTTCGTCGAGAATCTGCCCTCAGAGTCGGTCATCTCCGAAGAGTCCACGCCCAAGGATCTCCACAATCATACGCACAATGGTGGCGGTGGCAGCGGCATCTTGGCTCAGCAGCTGCAGCAGGAGCAGGTCGATAACACCGATGACGATGAGGACACGGTGAGTCTATTCGCTTTATTTGCCTATCGATAACTTTTGCACATTTTGAACTAAAGTCGATATTAACTAGTTCAATTTGTCTTCCATCTGTCAATTGCTGCAAGTTCAATGTGGCTGTGCATATGAACTAGTTCAATTCGATTCGAACTAGCTCAATTAGTCTTACCTATCGATCGCATTTTTCAATTGTGAACTAGTTCAATTTGCTTGGATTATCCTTCATACATAAAAATAATGTGGGCGGGCCTTGCACGACTTGGAACTCGGATATATCTAGAAAACTAAAAGTTTTTAGTATTTCCTATCGATTCTTATCGATTTCATTGACTATGGATTCTAGAGCAGAATCTAGATTATATGTATATATATTATAGTAAACGGATCGATTTGATCCTGTGAGGAGAGAGGTAGAACTTATTCATCTCTCTAAGCTTAGGCCCAATCTATTGTATCACTTAGGGATAAGAAAGTATTTTTAATTTTATTAATTTTTTTGATTTTTTTTTGTTTTTTTTTTTTGTTTTTTTTTTTGTTTTTACATATGTACAATGTACATGCATACATAAATAAGCATTCACACAGATAGGCGCACTCACACACTCATAGATCGTAGGTGGAGAAGGGGGTATTGCCCCTGGTTAGATGATGGCCTGGACAACCGTCTCGGCCACAGTCCAGCCCTCGAGGGCCGTGTCCTTGATGTATTTGGGTGGCAGGATAAAGCCGTAAGCGCCGCGATCGCGCAACTCTATGGTGTAGACGTACTTCACGCCGAGTGCTGCACGGCTCCAGTCGTCGGAGCCGCCGCCGGCAATGCCAAGGACCTGGTGGGTGACGGCTGCCTGGTATGTGGTGCCGGTCTTTTGGGCGATGCGATTGACTGCGGTGTCGGCGACGCGCTGCAGCACCGACGCGTCCTTCACCTTGACGGCTTTGTAGGCCCACGGATAGACGACCATCTGACCGTAGCTGTGGTACGTCAGATAGGCTTCCAGATTGTATTTGCGCTTGGCAAGGAAATTGGCCACCGCCTGCGTCTCAAGCTCGGAGGCGGCTGAATCGCCACGGAAGACATCGCTGCAAGGGTCCTTCGAGGATCCGAAGCCATTCCAGCCAATATCGAAATTACGATTCAAATCGACGCCAAAGCAATTCTGGCGCCTCGTCGATGGCGAACGATTCTTTCGCCACAGCCGATTCACGGTGCGTGAATACTGGTAGCCATCCGGGTTCATCACTGGCATTATGTACCAGGTGAGGCTGCGTATATGTGCCGGCTGATTCTCCCAGTTGTTCATCAGCTGATAAAGTATGAATGTCACCGTCGCAGGACTGATCCATTCACGTGCATGGATGCCGCCATCGATCCAAATCTTTTTGTTTTCGCGGGGATTCTCTGAGATGCTACAAATAGACGAAAAGCGGGCACAGGTTTAGGCGAGTCATGTTAAATCCCCCTCAGCTGCTGTTAGCCGAAGGTTCGACGGTGACAATGTTAACTAACAGTTTCTGTACAATACTTCGAAGCGGCAGTGCAAAATTTAAGTTTAGCTTACTGTTAGCTGTCTACAGTTGGCATTTTGTGTAGCATACTTTCAGGCTGCACGCTAAATGTCGACTCTGTTAAGTTAACAGCGTGCAATGAGTGTCAAACTGTTTATATGCTTTATGTTGGCATAAACTCGAGCGGACCAGCTAGCTAAGTTAATGATTATTTCATAGTTTGATATTCGATTCTACATACCGTAATACTTTCAAGTCGCGTCCCTCGGCCGTCTGTCCTATGGTGTAGAGACGGCAGATATTGGGATATTTGGCACGGATTTCGCGCATAAACGCATAGATGTTGTCCAGACTGTGGTAATCATTCCAGTGCATGCCGCTGCCATCGCGTGAGGCCTTCTCTGTTGGGCAATCAGTGTGAGTCGACTCGTTTTAATACATATTCGTTAGCTTGACAACTTACTTGTGCGAGATCCTGGCTGTGCTTGGGTGCCTTTGACGCCATCCAGCTGCTCCTCATCGATGAGCTCCTGGACATTATCGACCAACAGCTCAGCCTCCAGTCGATGGGCGACGAGGAAGCTGCGTGCCGCCTTCACCTGCTCCTTGTCAATGGAGATGTCCAGAAACTTGGAGTTCTCCTTCCAAATGTTGCCGCCAAACTTCTGCTCCATTATCTCGGCAACAGGTATTGTCTGGAGCAGGGCATCGCTCACGTTGTGAATGCGCCACAGCTCCGTGTCATCGAAGCGCATCTGTATGCCATTCGGATGCAGATACTCATTGTCAGCAGGCAAGGCCATTGAATCGCTGGAGTTGCCACTCGCCGCGGCCATGGCCAGCAGCGCGCCAAACAGCATCCCGAGCAGCAGTGATTGATGATTCATCTTGCTATCGATATGTCTCTATCTTATCAGTAATCGGCCAACAGTCCACAGTCAGCAGTTAACAGTTGTCAGCAATATCTGTGCAATGATAACGTTTGATAAAGATCAGTCAAGTGCTTGCGGTAATTAAGGCACCCAGCTACCCGCTCAGTGATGCTCTGCTGGGTATTTGGGACACCAGTTTTAAAATTGGTCGTTAATTGTAGCAATTTTGTTTGAACTTCAATCTAAATATCATTTTTATATAAATATCATAAAAAAGACCTAAGTCATTTACGATCCACATTATCTACGGTTCTAGCAGTAGAGCAGCTCAACAGCTGCTAAAATATAGTTTTCTTGTTCGATTTGCCATGCTCCCAACGAGGCAGCGCCTAACTTGTTTTATCTGTGGGCTATTACAGTCTTCATTCCCTGGACTCAAAAGCGCCATAAGGCTTACTCATCAGACGAGGCTATATACAGATATATATATATATATATATATATATATAGTTAATAAATCTGAACCTTGAGCCTCTGGCTAAGTGAATAGATATTTAGTAAATCGAATTTAGTGGGCAAACTATTTGGCTATTTCTGTCTGGAGTTCGACCTCTTGTACCCTCTTTAGGCAGTTGCTTAAATATAAACTTTTTGTTTTACCTTTCCGTTTGAGTTTTGTTATTGTTGTCGGAATATTTTTTGAGAATCACAAAGTGAACTAGTTGCAATTGCAAATGAAACTGAAACGAATAACTGTAATGCACGATATATATATAGATATATTCGCTGTGAGATGTATGTAACAGTCAAAAGAAGGCGTGTCAGATCTTGATCAGAACGACGAGTCGATATAGCCATGTCTGTCTGTCCGTACGTACGAGCGCACAAAAGCTACAAATTTATATTTTCAAATATATATATTCCCGTAAATCATAGGCATACAAGCTTTAATATTTTCCCATAACTCAATCCATTTCCTTATTGATTAAATTCGATCATTTAATTTGGTGTTATGCTTTAATTTAATTAGCATAAAAGATAGAAACGTTTGCCTGGAATGAATACACGGATTCAGTTTATTTCTGATTTCGGACTTCGCAAAAACCCAAATAAAACTACTTGAGATTTGTTCTTGGACAAATACCTACAGCGGATGGTGTTCTCAGTTTAAATACGAAAGTCTAACTAGAGGGACACTTGTTCAACAATTTTAGGCCCACACAAAAGAAGCGTCAAATGACTCGCATAGCAGCTCAGTAGGGTTCAGGGTAACGGCTAGTCGGGCTCTGCTTATTTCTTGCTTATACTGGTCTGGACCTTACTGACCTAATAACTTTTAAAAAAAAGTTATAAAGCGAGAAGTATATTGCCGACAAATGAAATTTACGACACTGGCAATTGATACTGAGCCAGTGTTGAAAACCATTAAATATTTTATTATTATGGAAAGGCAGAAATGTAAAGCTTGGCGAATACTTAAATTGTTTTCACTGCGTCTAATATATATATATAGATTGTAGATTATATGTGTATAAAAAAAGTTGAAATAGTGCCGAAAGCTTATTTTTTACGGCGATTTCCAATACATTTTTTATTTCATTTTTAATTGAGTTGAAATCGTAAAAAATCAATAAAAACTTATATAACAAACGTTAATAATATGCACTAAATAAATCAATATTTATTGTGATTTTAATAATCTATAATAATATATATATAATTATATATAATGTGTTGTTCAATCTGATTTATTGAGAAATTTCTTATCATCTAACTAAGACGCAATTTGTTTTTCTTTTTGGGGAATGTGGAATTGATGAAAACTGATTATACAAAAATGTTATTGAAAATTAAAGATGTGATGATCAATCAATCAATTGAGTCTTTCTCCCCATCAGAATTAGCCATTGAAGTGAAACTATAATGAAGCATAAATTTCCTAGGTTTATAATGCATTCATAATAATCATAATATTATTATCATTTGAATATTGTTTTTGATTTGAAGAGAGTAAAGAGAGATGGAATTTGAAATTTGCTTTATATAAAGCCCAGTTACGGACAGATTTCTACAAATCGAGAATTGTGAAGTCTTAACGTAGCTGAATTACAGATAGGCCTGAATCCGTCTATAGGTTCAGTCGGCTCTTACTTGTTTTATATAAATTTCTAAAAAATTCAAAAATATTTTTTTTGGTATTTCAAAATGAAAATGAATTAAATTTGGAACATAAGCTAATTCTAGGAAATATTAGAGAAAATATTAGTATATATATATATATATATATATATATATATATGTGTGTGTTCGTCTCTTTGGCCTTGACTAAGTTCAATATAATTTTGATATGGAACATGTTGATTTCTGTGCTGATTGTTTGGCAATCCATCAAGCTGAATTCAAATGATTTGAATAGCTGCAAAAGATCTATATATATATTTATATACATATATATATATGTACGTACATATATAGATAGAATGTCATATTATGCGATGGGGGCCAGCAAATCGTTCGATTCATTTGTATGCGAGTGACATTTGCGTTATATCGAGTCGAATCAATTACATATGCACACAATATATATTTTGTATAAGAAACTTTATTTGTTTTATTTAATGCTTGTATTTGAATTTGAATTATAAGCCCTGGCTACTGTATCTGAGTCAAATTGGGAATCTATCTTTCGCTCTTTATTATTTTGAGAATGGGAAACGTTGGGGCCGTTGCGAAATTGTTATCGCCTTTGGTTAGCACGCAATTGTGTTAATTAGCTCCGGACGAGCTGAACTGATTAAAGTCTCTATTTTATTTACTTTTTTTGTTTGTAGTTCGGAAAGCGGCCAGAGAACTGGTTCTGGGGCTTCCAATGGTAGTGAACCAACGTTGAGGAGTGTCTGCCAGATAGCCAGACAGAATCTTCCGACGCTTCAGACAGAATCTTCTGTATGGAGAGTGTCGTGTCGTTTCGTTTCGTTTCGTATCATATATGGGCCGACCTTTGTTTCGATCACGTGTCCCAGATGCTATCGCTGGTTCGTGCTTTGCTCCATAACTGGAGCGACTGCACATTTCCCTTGACCAGTCACAAAACAGAGTCAGAAAACAAGTAAGAGTGCTCTCGTCGCGAGTGATTGACGACGCGATTACCCTGTATGCACTTGTAATACACCATATATGCCTGTGCATGCATAATAATACATTTCATGAATCTTAAACAGGCTAAAAAGAACCAATGCAGGATATTGGCATTTTTCGCTTTTCTGCATCAGTTTGCGTAAGTACCTTGGAAATTATCGAGAGTATAACTCTTAAATCTCTTCATTAATTGCAGCTATATTTATCGATTAGTACATAATAAATATCGATTTTAAGTTAAACTTAATTGGGATCCTGAGTCCAGCTGGTCCACTCGACTCATAGGCGGATTGACTAACCTCGACTGTTGCTGCTGATTAGACATATGTGTATTTCTTATCTAATATGATAACTCATGCACTAAGCAGCCTGATTGGATAGTTTTCAATGCGTACAGGGTATCAAAACTAGTTGCAATTCGCTTGCATTCGAAATAATAACGTTACAGATTCACCACAATGTTACTGTTAACGCAAATGTTAATGTACATGCATGCATATGTTAATCATGTATGACCTCTCTCACATTCACATTTACATTTACATTCACACAAATGCAGGCACATTGGCGCTCTGCTGCTCTTGCACTCTCTCTCGTTCGCACACAATTCAATTCAATTAATTTTGCTTACATTTGACGTTTCGCTGTGATTGATGCTCCTTTTGTTTTTGTTGTTGCTTCTTGGATGCTGCAGTTGCCGGTCAGTTGCTGACACACCTTACCACCCGTGTGTGTGTGTGAGAGAGTGTGACTGTTACACTTGACAGCCCCCACTGACTGAGCCAAACTAAATGCTGCTTTTGTGTCGCTTCAATTTTTATATAAAACCAAGCCGGGCAACTGCGCCGAGGGCTGTTTCCCGATAAAAAAAAATCAAAAAAAAAAAAAAACAGAAAAAAAATCCAATCACAAAAATGAGACTGGGTAAAAGAAAAAAAAGGTGAATAAACAACCAACGTTAAACAGAATTACAACAGAAAGTGAAAAAAAAAAACAATTTTGGAAGAAAAAAATTGCGCTGCTAACTGACGACCGATCTTGGAGCGATCGGCGCGTACTGAATGAATTGACAACTACAGCAGTCGCAGCAGCACCACCAGCAGCAATCGAAGCGGCAGCAGCAGCGCAGCCAGTAATCGCAGTCAGCAGTAGCGCAGCCAGCGGCAGCAGCGATGCGAGAGAGTCAGTCACGCATCAACAACAACAACAACATCAACAACAACAACAAAAACTAATTTGTGAAGCTTGTGCGTGTGGGGTGGTTGCTACTGCTGTTACAGCTATCATTCTTGTTGTTGCTGTTGCTTTTTCTTTCTATTTTTATTTCACACTCTCTCTTTGCTTCACTGCAAGTCAGCGACATTGACTCTCTCGTGCTGTAATGCGACGCGTCGCTGCGCCCGCTGCTTCTGCTGCTGCTGCTGCTGCTGTTGCGCCTGCGCCTGTTGCTGCTGCAGCTGCTGCTGCTACTGTTGCATTTCGTGTGCTTTATCAAAAGCCAATCTATTACTCACTCTCTCACATACACACACACACATGTACGCAGAGTCGTGCAGTTGTCGTCCGCTTTGCACTTTGCACTTGCTCATGTACACAGTTTGACAGCCTCGCAATAACCGTCAATGGTGTTTTGATACCTATTGAAAATGCTTAAGCAGGGGATAATGTGTTTATGTGCAAGTGTATGTTATAGCTAGCAAAAAGTAAAGCTTTTATCAGCTACAACAGTCGAACTGATTTGGATGATTTCGAATATCGAATAGTTTCGATTTGAAAACTTTCGTTATATAAGAAAGCTCGATAGAGGGTATCATCTAGTTGCAAATTTCTAATTTCAAATTTGTTTTCGCAGCTTTGCCCTCTCGGCGCTTGCTGCTGAGCGTAACGCCACAAAAAGTTCATTCACAATTAACACCTCTATTTTAGGCACAACTGTTTTGGGCCACAGTCTATTCCAAAAGTATGCATACAGAGCTTTTAGTAATAGCTTTTTTACATGAAAATGCACTAAATGTCGCTAAAGACACCAAACATTAGATAGTTATGTTCATATTTCTTAAATTTCTGCTATGGTATGACAAAAAAGTTTGAAATACAAAACTTTCTCCTATTTCACATTCAAAATTCGCTACTGTATTCATTTATTGCAAAATACTTTACTAAATTTAACGGAAATACAACCGTTTGCCATATAAGATCCGCACTTGACTAGCCCTTGAAGTATGGAAATCCCTGATAAAAAAAACCTATAATTCCACACACACAGATCCAGCTACACAGATGCAGACAACTTAAATTATAGAATTATTAAACATAATTAATGATGGGATTTAACTGTTGACTTTAGAACTTGGAAATGCAAGATGTTAATGATGCAGTCTGTGCATGAGCAATCATGTCTATATATATATATCCAGTCTGCTTGCATGTGTGCGTTTGTGCCTGAAAGGCATTGTGATTTGCTGTAAATTTAATTTAAGCACATCACAAACTGCTATAAATGTGTGTGTGTGTGTGTGTGTGTGTTCGGATCTGACTATGTAATGTACGCCTATTTATGCACTTGTATATTGTGTATGTGTGTATGTGTGTGCCTGCCTGCCTTTATGTGTGCTTATGACGGCGCAATTTTTGACCCACTTGTCATGTTTTTACTTTCTTTCGCCTTTGATGATAATCAGCATGTTTCTCCTTCCTCTCCCCCTCCTCTTCCCCACACCAATTATGTTTTTTTCGTTACTTCTTTGTGCTTCTTCTGCTGCCTGCTGTGGCTGAGCTTTGTATTTTGCGTATTTGCTATTGTTGTTGTGTTCGTCTTTTCTTCTTCTTCAGGTTTCTTCTCTTTTGGGAAAAAAATTATTTTCACTTTTGTATTTTACCCTTTTGACGTCTCAATGCGCCTTTGTGACCCATTGAATTTTGTAGCACAATGCGTGGCGATCCATGCTTGTAGTCCAAGGAACACGCACACTCTTAAGTGAAGCTTTGCTTCACTTCTTTGTCTCATTGTTCGCATATGTAGGGTATCGCTTGGTCGTGAATATGCTCAATTTCGAGCCGTTCTTCAGCTGTATTTTTGATTTGTCTTCGTTTTTTTTTGTCTTCGTGCAGCGCTTAAATCACTTTCTTTGCGCGGCAAACGCTTATCGCTGGCCTTTCGCCTGCTTCGCATAATTTTTATATGCATGTTAAATAAATAGATAAATGAATAACATCTTTTGCCCGTTGTCGTGCCATTCGTCGTTTATCCAACAATCCCTCCCCCCTCCCAGCTCTCCGTTTCCCTTTCTCTTTCTCTCTCTCTCTCTATCTTGCTCGCTCGCCCCCGATTTGTTTATACTAGTTTTGAAAACGCGATTGAAAGTGAAAGTTTCACCCAGTTCAACTAGCTTTGGCCAACGCTCTCGCTCGCTCAACCTCTCTCTCTCTGTCTTTTGCTCTAACGGCAGCTTTTGCAGACTTGCTCTCTCAGCCACTCTCTTACAGTTTTTTTTTCGACTGCTTTCTATTTGGTTATGTGTATTGTGTTTGTTTTTCAAGCATTCTGGCATTCTTCAAACTACAAAGTGCTATTAAAATTATCCATTCAATATGTTATGTACTTCATATAGATACATAATATATATTGTATTAAATATAATATATTTCATTTTCGCTTATTTAAACTTAAGCTTAGCTTTAAGTGCCTCGCCTAAAAGCATGCAACAGTTTCTCTCTCTCTCGCTCTGTCTGCCTCTTCAAAGCAAGCAGTTCACGGCAAGTTCTATAAATTTCTATAAAGTTATTAATTGCTTTTAATTATTCATTTGCTTTTCCCATATTAAACACATCACATTGGGTGTTTCCCTGGAGTCTTAAATTGATGTTGATCATTGTTTATTATTGTTTGCTTTTTAACTAGTTATTAGCTTAGGTCCATTAGCAAGACTATGCCATAATTATTAGATGATTAAAGTAAAGATATAGCATATGAAAGTTGTTATGATGTGGTTAACTTTTGCCATCTGTTTGCATAAAGTTTCAATAGGGAAATACGAAGAGACGAGAAATCTATTGTTCGTTTATAATATATTTGTATGTCGCATGATTATTTAAAGCGACTATCAGATATCATAAAGTTAACTAATTAATATAGCAGTGTTTCCATTGGAAGAGAAACAAGCGCCAAATAAATAAATAAATAATTCCATAAAAAAAAATAATTTATATAAATAATTATCGAGTGATCGATTCTCGATCAATTCTGGCTGAGTTATTGCAACTGCTGAGCTATGGTCTTTAGGAATTCGTAGACCTCCTCGCCGGACTCGAGTATGTAGTGTGGTGGCATTAGGTAGCCATAACGACCCTGATCCTTGAGGAATACGTTGTACACGAATTGCGGCTCGATGTGCTGCTGCACCCAGTCGGCCGCGTTGCCCGATCGCGCCAGCTTCTGGCGATAGCTGCTGCCCATGCTGTACTCGGCGTGGTTCAGTCGACGGAAGTTGAGGATGGCCTGGCGAGCTGTGTGGCGCAGCTGGCGCTGATTGCTGGTCACATAGTCGGCGTCGCCCCACGGATAGGTGATCGCCTGGCCGTAGCCACCGAAGGAGACATATGCGCCCAAATAGTCGCGCATGCCCAGCAGAAAGCTGCGCATGGCTCGTGTTTCCGGCTCAGAGAAGCTTTTTGCGCCCCGATACAGATTCTTGCACGGATTTGATGAGGCGCCCGCCTCGCCCCAGCTATAATCGAAGTTGCGATCCAAGTTGACGCCGTAGCAGCCGGTGGCCGTGTCATAGCTGCGATTCTTGGTCCACAGTCGATCGGTGAGCCGCGAATGCTGGTAGCCATCGGGATTGGCTAGCGGCAGGAAGTACCAGTCGATGTGACGCATCGCCTTGTCCACTTGACCGTGGTCCCACAGCCAGGTCAGCTTCGAGATGGCATAGGTCAGCGCCGCCGGGCTGAGCCAATCGCGCGCCTGCATTCCGGCATCCACAAAGACAGCAAAATTATTTGGATTGCCATTCGAGACTCTGAAAAAGACAGAGCAATACGTTTGATTAACATTAGCCAAGCTTACAGTGTCTGTTAACAGTAGAGTTAACAGTGGAATAGTAACATTAACAGTATACGTAACACTAGGCAACATTATACGTTACACTAACTTTATAATGTGTAACAGTAACTCGGTACGTAACAGTCTACCGACCTGAGCACCTCGAGCGGTCGCTTGTTGCGTGTGACACCTATTTGCACGATCTCCGCCAGCTCGGAATGCGTTTCTAATACGTTCTGCAGGAACTGCTGCATGTCTGCCTGATCATGATAGCGACGCCAGGTGAGGAGAACACCCTCGCGATTTAGCCACGGCAGAGAGTAGTTGGCCAGAGGGTTGTCCTGGTCGGTGTCCGATTCGTTGATCTCCGTGTAGGTCTCATCGATGGCCGTCTCGAGATCGTCGATCATGATGTTGTAGCTGAATGCGGTCTGCTTCATATACTGCTGGGCGGCAGCCACGTTCTTGTGCTCGATGATCACGTCGATGCCATCTTGATTGACGTTCCACACCTCGCTGCCTGCAAGATATACGAATGAGAAGATCTGTCAGCAAGGCGATGGGCTAACGAATGTGATTTGCTTATGGCTACCAAAGTGTCGCAGAAATGCGCGTAGTTTCGGCTGCTTGAGACGCGTTTCGTGCAGTTTCCACAGCTGATGGCCATAATATCGTATCACTGAGGCATCATTGCGATAGCGTCGATTGATCTGATATGTAGAGCTCGGCGATAAGAAATCGAAACGTCGCAAATCGGTGGGCGAGAGCCACTGCAAGCTCTCAAAGGTCGCCTCGTACAGCTCGCTGCTGTTGAGCGTCCACAACTCGGGCAACGTCGTCAGACCCGGCACCGCGACACTGCGCCACAACAGCCACTGTGCACCACCAGCAGTCGCCAGTGGTGCCAACCACAAAGCCAACAATAACATCATGCTGATCGTGCCACACAAACAGAACTAATTCTCCACACTCTCGCATTTCTCAGCAGAAGGTCAAGATACGCAGAAGTCCACAGCTTCTTGATTAATGTCAATTTTATGCGTGCAGAACACCTGCTTCTCGCCAGGTGATTAGTTGACCAGCTGACTAGCTGACTAGCTGTGGCTCAGTTAAGTCACTCTCTGTGGTTGGACGTTTGATATTTGACACGCTGCTCAATTCTATTCTTTCGGTAAGGAGGTCAATAGCCCACCTTTGCTCTCAACCTCAGCCGATGTTGTGAACAGTTAAAAGTTTCTGATTTGCATATCTGACAGTTTCGTGAAGTGTTTTCTGCATATCTTTAAGGATAGTCACGAGCAACTAACACAAGTTTGTGAATCACATCATCTATTATATTCAAATGCCTGTTATATATATGCATAGATCCAAATTTCGATTTTATCTCTCTTTATGTCTATTGAGGTTTCATCGAAGTCGGACCAATATATAATTCGGATAGTTCTTCTAGCATACTATATACTCAGATCCCTTTAATCAATCAATCTGTCATTGAATCAATCAGTCAGTTAATAGCAACAAGTCATTCAATCAATCAGTCAGTCAGTCCGGCGTGCGTGAACTTTGATCAATCAGTCAATCAATCAACTCCTAAGCTAATTACTATCAGATATTAATATTTCTTTATGTTAACGTCCATCATCAATCAGTCAGTCAATCAATCTATCCATCAATCAATCAATCAATCAGACAATACATAAGTATTTGCAGTTGTTCGCTCATCAATCAATCATTCAAGCAGAGTTCACATAGATCACATTTATGTAAGAGTAACGAGTCTTCGATTAAGCGCAGCTCTCTTCAATCGGAAAGATTAGGTATGCGAATTTCGTGACCGAGCGCCTCGTTAGAACATCGGACCAGTCGATTGATGGTTTTTTAAGTGCTTTCAGCTAGATTGATTGGCGACTGAGAGGCCTCAGGTGGACTACTCACCAAAGTCTTCCACAAATTGCTTGAACTGGGCATCCGGTGAGCTGTCGCCCAATTTGCGAGTGCCATTGAAGTTGAGCTTCCAGAGCTGAGCGCCGCGATAGCTCACATAGTTCTCGTCCAGCGAGGCGCGCAGGGCAGAGCGTCGACCCATGCCACCACCGGGCTGCTCCATGGGCCGCAGGTAGCGCAGCAGCTGAGCCACGCCGCCGCCGAAGAAGGGCAAACGGACGAGATTATCGCCGGTGCGTGCAAAGAAATCGTAGCGCCTAGTTGCCTCCGATTGTGGCAGCCATGCGCTCACTGCAACGGCTAACAGTGCGTATGCGTATGCGTAATGCATTCTGCGTGACTTTTCGTTTGCGGCGTTCGAATTTGTTGTCGAATGTTGCTCGATTCGATGTTGAATTCTGTTTGGCATGCGGCAAGCTACGAATTGGCCAAATAACGGCTACATTTTGGCTTTTGCCTCTGTTCTCAATTCTCCATCATTACCACACACACACGCACACACACGCACACACATGCACACGCACAGTCGATGGGCCACAAATTTGCATAGCTTAACTTTTACTTTGCTCGAAATGTTATAAATAACTGTTATACTGTTATATAGCACAGCTATTCGCTGCAATTCTCAGTTGCTTTGCTTTCTCTCTCTATCTTGAGGTCTTTCAGTTGCGCTCTCCCTCTCTCGCTCTTTCGTTCTCTTTGCTTATTACTCTTTGCTTACTCTGTAAGCACGTAAAGTAGGCATATTCGACCCTTTATCATCTACAATATTCGTAGCGATCTAGTCGTATCACACTCCATATCTATCATACACATTTCCAGTTTCTCTTCTGTCATAACATTCATATAAATTTTTCTTGAAATTCATTGTGATCATTAATCTTAATTTTAATTCTTTGTTCCAGTTTATTGTTTAAATAAATTTATGAGTTTCGCACTATTTCACATTCAATAAATTATTTTTTTTGGGCATATGATACATGCTGGGAATTAGAAAAACAAAAGAAATAATCTATACAATGTGAGCAGATAATAGAAATATCAGAGATCAGAAGAAGCTGAATTGGACTGTCGCTCAGAGCTTAGATACTCTGTAGATCTTTTAAATATGTTTTGTAGTACATATGTGAATCATTTCTAGATCATCTGTAGATCAGTTGAATATAATTTGTCAATCATCTGTAGATCATCTGTAGATTATCTATAGATCATTTGTATACCATTTGTCGATCATCTGTAGATCATCTGCAGATCATCTGCTCATCATCTATAGATCATCTGTAGATCATCTGTAGATCATTTGTATACCATTTGTCGATCATCTGTAGATCATCTGTAGATCACTTGTATATCATTGGTCGATCATTTGTAGATAATTTGTAGATCATTTGTATACCATTTGTCGATCATCTGTAGATCATCTGTAGATAATCTGTTCATCATCTATAGATCATCTGTAGATCATCTGTAGATCATTTGTATACCATTTGTCGATCATCTGTAGATCATCTGTAGATCACTTGTATATCATTGGTCGATCATTTGTAGATAATTTGTAGATCATTTGTATACCATTTGTCGATCATCTGTAGATCATCTGTAGATAATCTGTTCATCATCTATAGATCATCTGTAGATCATCTGTAGATCATTTGTATACCATTTGTCGATCATCTGTAGATCACTTGTATATCATTGGTCGATCATTTGTAGATCATTTGTAGATCATTTGTATACCATTTGTCGATCATCTGTAGATCATCTGTAGATCATCTATATATCATCTATAGATCACCTGTAGATCATCTATAGATCACTTGTATATCATTTGTCGATCATCTGTTGACCATCTGTTGATCATTTGTAGGTGATCTATACATCATCTGTATGCATATGTATTATTCTGAGATCATCTTTCAATGATTTGTAGATAATTTGCGGAACACATGTAGATGATCTGATCCTTATTTGTAGACTAACTGTTAAATATTTTATTTTATTTAGATCATTTGCAGGTAAAGGCTTGTAGATTATTGTTAGAGCATTTGTAGGTGATCTTTCAGGACAGTGAAATATTAGTATAACGTCTGCAGCTTGACCAATCTTAACATGACCCCAAGATATTGTCTTAACTTTAACTTTCATTTGAATAATACTCGAAGATCGATCGCTTTTTTTTCAATAAACATGTCTCAGTCTATTTTGAAATATTCAATTTTTCTAGTTACAAATAAATAAATAAATAAATAGTTTCGTATAAATAACATTACAAAAAAAAAAAAAAATAATGGATGCGAGAAAAAAATGCATATTGAACTAGGTCTAAGAGGCAGGCAACTAGCGCACGCGGCGACGGATGCTGCTGCTGCGGGCATCCGTGGAGCGTCCTTGGATGATGGCGCGAGCGACGGTGTCGGCAAAGGTGTAGCCATCCTTGCCGTTGTACTGAATGAACTGGGCGGGCAGGACGAAGCCGTAGCGACCAGTGTCACCCATCTCGATGGTGTAGGCGTACTTGATGCCCGCAATGCCCTTGGCCCAATCATCCGAGCCGCCGGCAGCCGGATACAGCGTCGTAGCCGACGAGCCGACCGTATACTTAACGCCCGATGACTTGGTGATGATCTGAAAGGAGGCGTGGGCGTTAGCATATCTGTGGAATGGCCATGCTAGGCAGTTTGGCTAAGCCAGCTGATGCTTACCGAGCCCGCTTGGCGTGCCACGCGATCCAGGTCGGCACGGTCCTTGGTCAGTTGATAGTCATAGCCCCATGGATAGAGTATGTATTGGCCATAGCTGTGGAACGAGAGATACGCCTGGAAGGTGTTGCGAGGGAAGCCGCTTATGAATTTCGAAATGTAGAACGTTTCCGGCTCGGAGAAGGCCTTGCTGCCCCGATACGTCTGGGAGCAGGGGCTGGCCGAGGTGCCCTTGCCGCCCCACTTGTAGCCAAAGTTACGGTTGAGATCGACGCCGGGACATTGACGTCCATGGGCGCGCATATTCTTGCGCCACAGACGATCCGTGGTATGGGAGTATTCGTAGCCATCGGGATTGGCCACCGGATGGATGTACCAGTTAATGTTGCGCATGTGTTCGGGCAGATCCTCCCAGCCCTCGAGCAACTGATTCGCTATAAAGCTGACAGTGGCTGGACTAATCCATTCACGTGCGTGCATGCCGCCATCGATCCATACGCTCGGATTGCGTGCATTGCCATTGGAGATCCTACGAGGATTAGCATTACTCTACATGCTCCTAGACTATGGAGTGGTAATTCACTTACTTGAGTATCTTGAGCGGACGCTTCTCCACGGAGTAGCCAATCGTTTCGGTAGAGCAAATGTCCGGATAAGTCTTGGCCATATAATCAATGAAGCCATGTATATCGTCCAAACGATGATACGCCTGCCAGGTGAGCCGGTGACCTGTGAAGAGAGAGGGAGAGAGGGGGAGAGGGAGTTCAGTTTATGCTAACAAACTATGGCAACCCCAACTTGGCGTTCATTGAACTCGCTCGTAAAGAAACCAAGTGTCAAGTGCTTCGACTTGGATTGGGACTCAAGGAAATTGCGTGTCCTGTCTGTTATTGATTAAACAAGTGTCTTGCCAGGCTGCCTACCCGATTGCCTATTCCAACTGCCAAGTTCATGGTTCAGCCTCAAGTGCAACTCAGGAGGCGTGGCACTGGCATTTAAAAAGCTGTCGCAACTGCTCCGCCTGTCACTCAATCGACAGACTCGATGTCTATTTTTCTTGGGCAACCCCTTTCGGCTAGTCTCCTTCTTTGTATATATTTAAACCACCTTCACGGTCTGTTCGTTTGATAGCGCTGCCCGAAATAGGGTATACTCTATCGATAGTTCGATTGACATAATCAGACTGTGCTAAGCATATTTCATATTGTGAAAGCCTAGGCAACTTACAATATCTAATCGATAACAATTAAGACCGATATATATCGATTTCTAGCAAAGTATTTTTTAAGTTCTCGAAATGTGAACAGAGCGAGCTAAATTAGCTGTGATTATCGATAAATATCGATGCTTGTTTAAAGGCTTTAAGTATACATTTCATTTAGCAAGAAGATCGATATATAAGAATAATTTTTAGTAATGAATTGCTGTTGTAATTAGTCTGGCATTGAGGGCAGTGTCGATCAGCTTGATTAGCTGCAATGTACAGGGTATTTGCTGGTCGACTCACTCCAGTTGCTGCTATACTTTTGCCCCATGCCCTGGCTGCGACTTGATTTTTGTTATCGTGCGTCCCGTCACTTTACGTTTTATGACTTTTCGCACGCCTCAACTATTAGCTGCATTAAAAGCTCATTTATGGCGACACCTGAGCTGGGGCACAAACGCAAGGCTACCCCATTTCTTGGCTTTGCCTTTGGGTACTCACCCTTGCGATTCTGGAGCTCGGCAATTTTGTCAGCGGGCGGATTTTCGACTTCGATAACCTGCTGCAAGTTATCGATCAGCACGATGCGCGATAGATTCGCGGCGCGTATGTGACGCTCAGCAGCGGCCAGCACCTGTGGTTTCAGCAGGTAGTCCACCTCCTGTTTCACCTCCTTCCAAAGCTGTCCATCTGCAACGGAGAGAGAGAGAGAGAGAGAGAGAGGCTTAGTCGTGTATGTGGCATGTGGCATGTGGCATGTGAGACTAACCGTATTTCGATTGCAGCTCATCGGCCAGCTTCTTGTCCTTGTCCGTTTGCACCACAATGCGCCACACTTGGGCTCCATCGTAGCGCCTCAGCTGTGCACTGAATGCGCTCTCTGTGGCCGCCTCCTGCTCAAGGTCCATTTCCTGCAACTGATCCTGCTGCATAAATGAAGCATTCACATAGTTCAACACGCTGTCCATGACTTGAATCGGCTCCGCTTCGCGCTGGGGTATCTGTGGCACTACGGCGGGTATGATGGTGGTCAGGATCGATTGTTCACGCTCTGGCTGGAGGGCGGCTGGAATTTCGACTGCAACTTGAGCTGGGATTTCAGCTGGAGCATCGACTGGAGTTTTAGCGGGGATCTCAGCTGGAGTTTCAGCGGGGATTTCGGCTGGAATTTCAGCTGACACTTCAGCTTGTGGCACAGTTTCCGGCTCAGCTTGTGGCACAACTTGCTGCTCTGCTTCTGGTTCGGCTTGGCCAGCAGCTTCAGGCTCTGACTGTGGCTGTGGCTCTGGCTCTGGCTCTGGCTCTGGCTGTGCTTCAGCTTGTGGCTCAACATCGGTCATTTCATCAGCCAAGATCTCTGTTTGCTTTTCCGTTTCAACTGCTGGCAACTCCTCCACAGCTGGCTCCGCTTCCTGCTGTACCTCCGGC